TCCGGGTTTAGGCACAGCGTGGATAGGCGAACTGTACATGCCAAGGCGCGAAGATGAGCAAATGCTCAGGTAGTAAAGAATAGAGACGAGAGACTTACCGAGGCAAGGCGCGAGGATGAGCAGATATCGAAACTCTGCGCGCCTTGCCTCACCTCTTATAGAGTTTGCTGAAACCCGAGGGGCCTCACGCCGTGATGACGCGTTGAGGTTTTGGCCTCAGTCTGAACTGCTAGCCTTGGCTGGCGCGTTCGGAATGAACGCTAGGGGACAGTTTCAACTACGTGAAACTGCCCCCTGTGCGCAGGTCGAGGGTTGAGACCCGACCCGCTAAGGAAGCTCGCAGAGCTGTCCTTGTGCGCGTACTGGTAGTACGCTGGCGAAGTTCGTGGAGCACGAACCTCGCGCGCGCGTTCCTAGTCGGAACGCTCATATCGGCGCACGTGAGTGCTGCGACTTCCCGACCATGATTAGACTCATGTAAACTTTTAATTTAAACACGATTTATCATAGGGTGGCATCAGAATCGAACTCCACTATTCTTCTTCGTTATGTAAGCCCGTCGCTCCAACCGCCGGCTCACGACGCCACAACCGCGGCGTTCTCGGACTCGACCTCGATCGCTCCACCTCGATCACCATTTCATATTCCATAAATGCTTCGATCGACATTTCACTCTGCTTCTGATACTTCGCCCATGGTTTCCTTTCTACTCGATACAGCCCCCTTGGAATAGTCCCTTCTTTTCCTTTTATACACGGACTCGTACGATACGATTCGACAGCTTAAGCCACCCCGCTCCCGCTCCTGTACTCTTTTCTATCTCTTGCGAATCACACCACCGTCCTATTCTGTTTGGTTCGATCTCAGTGTTTCCCGCTCAGGCGGGCTTCCACGTTATCCCATTTGAAATTTGAATGATGATAAGAACACGACCTGCTGCGGCGGACGGCCATCGAGCCGTGTTCATTGGGTAATGCCTCATGTAGCAGTAGGATCTGGTGGATCCATGGTCGGTGCCCATGAAGCTTGAAGAATGATACCGAAGTCAGATTCGATGGTATGTACTCTTACGAACTTGCAGATCCACTTCAGGTTACTGCTACTCCGCTGGCTCCTCAGATACAGTGATGATTGATAGTGCTTGGTGTACTTCATATCATAACTAGCTTAGATGCATCACATTAACTTCCATTTGTCCAGTAAGCTACTCGCGTAGACAGGATTATGCGGACTTGTCAGGTCCCAGTAGTCTTGAGCTTCTAACGTTCAGCAAGTTTCCCCGTTGAAGTTTGCTGAGAACAGGCCAGCTTTACGGCATACTGTAGTTTTTCGACCTTAGGTTCGCGGTGGCGTGGGAAGTCGGAGATTTAACGCACCTTCCATAACCGTCTGTCCCCCCCTATAAGTTCGGCGGGCCAAACCGAGGGTGGACAGTTAGTTCGTGCTCGCTCAGCAGGCACCGACAACAAAAATGATCATAATGTAAAATATAGGTGTGGTATACACTTTGAATAAGGTCCTGGTGGTGCTCTCAATAATGTTCCCGACATCGACACAAACCAAACCAACCTCGAGCTGGTCATTGGCACAGGTGCTCAAGATGTTGTGCTCACCCCTCCGATCCCGCTATGTATCAAACACTTTGCACTTGTTGGTGCCTTGCTGGTTTATAAAGTACTCGACATGGTCGAGTTCCCACAGTCTCGCTGATTGAGTTCTGGTGGCTCTGGGCTCCGCATGGCCCCTGCCATGGACAATGAGCCTGATGTGGTCTCCAATTGTTTGCGAGTACCTGGATAGAAGGAATCCCCTGAGAACTTAACGAGCTGGGGTGTTTAACATGCAGCAATGGTAGTATAGGCTATCAGAATACTTTGAATAGGATTTCTTTTATATTTTCTAGTAATTTAATTATATTTATGCCTATTTTACGGTATCTTACTGCCCAAAAGGTGGCCCCTTAGGGTGAGCCTTGGTTAGGGAGGAGTGTAAAACACAGTGAGTAAATCTCAAAGAAGAGGTTGTCGACGAAGGGCGGACAACTGGCTTGGAGAGACTCCAAGGCCACCAGTTTCGTCTTATATAGACTCTTCAGGTCCGCTTAGTAACGGGTGTAAGCGCACAGTA